AAGAGGAAGTGAAGAACCGAAGGAAAGATCCGCACACGGACGATCCCAAGCCCTGGGAATCCCTTCCGCAGCTCCTGGAGGCGCCCAATGTGAGAATGGGGGTTTCTCCCCCGAAAATGGCTTCAAATACGAGCCTGGGAGATCAGATTAGGGTTCCGCGCCCGGCGCACAATTCTTCGCGCCCGGCGCAAGTTCTTCCAGAGAAGTCAAGCACTCTCTGTCTCAACACAAGCCCGGCGCAATTCCTTTTGCGCCCGGCTTAATTCCTTTTGCGCCCGGCGCAATATAACTGGCAGAGATGAAATACTCTGTTTTTGTCACGCCCAGCGCGGGTTATATTGAGCCCGGCGCAGAACCTCTTCTCTGCTCCTTAGCTTCTTAGGTTTCCAATCCTAAGAGTCTTCAATCCTCAAGTCCCTAGCTCAATACCTGCACAAAAAATAAGGTGTATTAAGGTATTGTTAGCTAAATTTGGGTTAGTTATATCTGCACACAAAAAGAACCAAAAAGAGAACAATTATATTGCAATGGTTCAGAGGATGAGTGGAATTCGTTCAATAAGTCTCATCCAAAAAGAGGTAAAATTGAGACTTAACAAAGGTCTGCACAGGAATTCACAGAGAGCATTCTTATTCTTATTAAAACTTATTTATTTTTTTACATTAATCACATATTCATTTATTACTTTCAACAAGGAACAAGGTAGAGTAAACAGAAAATAAAACAGAACACATTAATACTTTGCATGTTCAAAGGAGCATGCCACAGGCAAGGGATTGGGGGTCAATCCGACAATCAGACTATCCAACAATTATCCCCACACCCCCGAACGAGGTTTCTCACTCCCCCCTTACCTGGATAAGCAAAAGCTGAAACTTGAGCAGGACCTTGCTACTTTATTCCTCTGGATTCCCTCTTTTTCTTTCTCTCTCTTTCTTTCTCTTTCTTTCTCTCTCTCTCTCTCTCTCTCTTTCTCTTTATAAGTTTTTCACCTTTGGTCAGTTATAAATTTTTTCACCCCTGCCTACTATTTATAGGCATCCAGGGGTACCCAGAATGACCTGTACTGAATCCAAAATGGCCCGTTCCGCAGCCATGCGTTATAGGCAAAATTCACAACTGGAACGGCCCGTTTCAAAATCAGAATGGTCCGTTTTCAAAAATCATAACGGCCCATTCTAAAATTATAACGACCCGTTCTCAAAAATCAGAATGGCCCGTTCTAAAATTAGAACGGCCCGTTCTGGGGTTCCTTTTAACACAGATTGACCATAAGTAGAACGACTCGTTTCCAGCTTAACTTTTTAGGCATTTTTTGAATCTTGGAACGACCTGTTTCACTTTTGGAACAACCCGTTCTGGAATAACAAAAATGGGTCCTTTTACTAATTTGGAACGACCCGTTCCACTTTTGGAATGACCCGTTCTGCTACTTCAAAAACAGTTTATTTTCATTGTTTGAAACGGCCCATTCGACTTTTGGAACAACCCGTTCCAGCGTAAAAAAAATAGAATTTTATAAAAATTTTCATAAATAATTTAAATTATTATAAACCTTTACCATATTCTATAAAACCCCTTTAATTAACTAAAATAACTATAAAAAAATAATCTTAATAATTATAAAAATAAATAATAATTAATATTGTATTTAGTAGAAAATTCATGGTGTTACAAATATTTTCAACTTTATGTTTATAAAATATGTGAACATGTTATCTATTTTAACTATCATTTCTGTAAGTTATTAATTAAATTTATATATATATATATACAAATTATTTATCATAAATCTAAAATATAAATTATATGATAAGAAATATTCATTGTTTATAAATTTTAATTATAATATAATTTATATATTTAAAACTATTTATTTATTATAAATTTTAGTTATATAAAATAAAAATATACCTTGTTCACTGCACAAACTAAATAGGTAAAATTAGATGTTATTTATAATGAATGTTAGGGAATCAAAGTTAGTGAATTCAAAATTTGAAGGGATGATGAAAAATATTTTATAAGAATTAAAACGAAAATTCACTTATTTTATAAAATCGTTAAATCAATTATTTTAAAATTTAAAGAATAAAAAATGAATTTCTTTGTAAGTAACTAAATGAAAACTCGCCAGTTCAATAAGATTTAAAAACACATCGAACTTAAAATTTGATTATTTTATCAACTTCTATTCATTAATATGATGCTGCAATATGTTGAATTCCTTTTTTTTAATTTTATTTTTTATAATCCAAATAATTAAAAATAAAAGAAGTACAAAAAATACTCCAACCCATTACAAAATATTACATGTAAACTAAAAATACCGTTCCAAATGCCGCAATATGTTGAATTCCTATCGGATACATATAAAAAAATCGTTTTACAGTAACAATCAATACAAATTAAATTTTTATTTTTTATTTTTATTTCTTGTAATATTTTTTAGGAAAAGATGGACTATGTATTGACTGATATGTAATCACAATCAAGTATTTTAAATTTATTGATTTTTCATATAAATAATTAAAAATTTATATCACCAATAATCTAATTGATTAACGGTATAAAAATGTTTCACCCTTTCGGTGCATAATCATTAAATTTTATTTTTAAAAATAAATTAAAATTTTAATAGTATAATAACCACTATAATTTTTCTTTATAATATGGGATAAGATTAAATATCGATATTTACACCCATCTCTACTAAATTTAAATTTTGTGGGTATATATGTCTAAGAATTTAGACTCTAGGTGGGGTGAGAGCTAAATGATACTTGCCATGCTAAACAAGCAATCTTGTAGGCTGCTTTTATTGAATAAACAATTAATTTTGAAAACACACAGAGTAAAGTGTTATGATTATGTGATTCACCAATTCTAGTTATTTCACCATAATAATTAGTATAACTAATAATTTTCTTTAAAAAAAAAACAATTACATCAGAAGTTAACTAATTTATGATAGTCGAAATTTAAATTACTAAAAGTTTTAGTAAAATGTCTCATGATATTAGTAAGGCGTCACATGATTGATAAATTATCTTATTTTTTTAAGCGTAACATTCGTGATTTGATCCTTGATTAGTATATATAGAAAAATATTTATTGAAAGCTTAACTCTTTAATGAATGTTTTAATTGTTAGCTTAGGACACTATAAACTATGTACACAAAAATGAAGAGTTGCAGCTTGTCCTATCAAGTTCGGAGAAAAAAAAAAAATCCAATTGGTTTTAATTTCAATCCTATAGTTTGAAGCTACAGCTTGATAATAAATAAAACTTATTGTCTTAATTATAAGATGGGTTCGATTATGTCTTTAATTTGACCCATTAAAAATGAAAGACAAAATGGTCCATTGGATCGATTATTGCAACTTTTCAGTAACAACATACTATCTATCTAGAAGTACTTTAATTATTGGTCCAAAATTCCTTCGAAGCATTTATTTTCTTTGATGTTAAAAATGGAGATTTCCGTGACTGACGTCCCTGCTTATGTAATTCACTAATCAACTTTTTTTAGTTTAAATATTTTTTTCCTTATAATAATATTTTTTTAATTAAATATTTTATATAAAATTTACTTATTAACGTTATTATTGATAAAAATATTATATTAAATTCAATTGATGTTATACAATTATCTTCTTTTGAAAAAAATCCTTTTTATACTTTTCTATACTGATTCTACTTATCATTGATTTAGCTTTCCAGAGATCAACTTACTTTTAAGGTCTCTCAAATCTAGAACTCTCGACAATATTAATTAATTAGACAATTAAAGTTATAAAATTGACAATATTTCAGTAAAAAAATGATCAATTTTAATTGAGATAAATTTTAAATTCTTTTGACCAATTCAAATTATAAAACTTATTATATTAAATTCATCTTAATAAATATTATGAAACTAAAATAATATTAAAAGAAAAAGTCATAAATACAATAAAAACCACATAAAAATAGTATCTCATAGTAAAATAAATTGATAGATTTTTTGTATTTCAGTTACTCACAAGATTCATTTCTCAAGTAATTTTGATTATGTTTATAATTTTTTTCTTCGAATATTAATTGGATTTCATAATCTTTAGCGAGTAAATTTAATCAAACAAATTTTATGTGTTAAATAAAATAAAAACTCAAAAATGCTTTTTAAAATCGAAAGAAACACTGAACAAGTGTATAATTGTTGGAATACAAATAAGTCCCGCATCGATAAAAAAAAAAATAACAACTTATAAAGCACACACATACTCCGATGTTAGAGAGACCTTTTGTGTAATAACCAAAAGTAAAATTGTGAGGACTTAGACCCAAAGTAGATAATATCTCATCATTGTGGAATATATTTGTGAAATAAATAAAAATAACCCTCATAAAATATTTTCTCAGACAAATACCATAAAATAACCCAAATACCATAAAATAAATTCATCAGTGGTATTAAAGCCGCAAGGTTGGATGTGGTAACAACCCTCATAACTCATAACATATAATGTGATATATAAAGACAAATTTTGTTGCATGAAAGATTAGGTCCCTTGTTTGAGGGGAGGATTGTTGGGATACAAACAAGTCCCACACCGATAAAAATAAGAAAAAAAATAACAACTTATAAAGCACACACATACTCCGATGTTAGAGAGACCTTTTGGGTAATGACTAAAAATAAAACCGTGAAAATTTAAGCCTAAAGCGGACAATATCTCATTATTGTAGAATATACTTGTGTAATAACTTTATAAAAATACCCGTCATAAAATATTTTCCGAGACAAATACGATAAAATAACGGCTTCAGCAATTTAGGAAAGACTGAACCATAAAAAAACTTTTGACAGCGAAATAAAGAACACAAAAGTACATTTTAGTTTTTTTTTTGTTTACTTATAAAAGAAAAATAAAAAATGTGGTACTACTTTTTATTCGAACATTTGACTATTTAATCCCGCCGGTTTTAGACATAAGAAATAAATGGAGTTAGAGACATGTTTTCCTCTTCCATACTCATTTCCATCGAACACACCATTTTTGTTATTTTAGCATTCAGTTGCACTCAGAAAGAGTAGTGTCTTGTTTGATTTCGTTACATAAGAAAGAAACATAATGGAGGGAGGTGATGTATACAAAGCAATTAACAGTTTACGATCAAGAAGTTCAAAAGTTTGGAGAAACAGTGGCGAAGACGTATTCTCAAGGTCTTCTCGCGGAGAGGATGATGAAGAAGCTCTCAAATGGGCTGCACTTGAGAGGCTCCCTACCTACAACCGTCTCAAGAAAGGCTTGTTGACAGCATCTCATGGTGCTGTCAATGAAATCGATGTCACTGATCTTGGCTTCCAAGAAAGACAGAAACTTCTTGACAAGTTGGTCAAAGTAGCTGAAGAGGACAATGAAAAGTTCTTGTTAAAACTCAAGGAGCGAATTGAAAGGTATATATATATACATACATACAACCTGTTCATCAAGAAATGACTAATAGCCTTCTTCTAAGTCTCTTGCCTTTTCTTTTTGTATGTTTCTCATAGAGTTGGGCTTGATATTCCAACAATCGAAGTTCGATATGAGCACCTTAATATCGAGGCAGAGGCTATTGTGGGAAGTAGAGCTTTGCCATCTTTCATCAATGCTGTTACTAATGTCATAGAGGTTCAATTCTTTAATTAATTTTGATTTCTTTTTGGTTTTGGTTTGTGTTGTGTTGCAATCAGTCTCTTCACTGTCTTTCTCTATATGGTCTCGCAGGGGTTTCTAAATATTCTCCATATTATACCAAGCAAGAAGAAACACGTGACTATTCTTAAGGATGTTAGCGGGATTATTAAACCTCGCAGGATGACACTGCTTTTGGGTCCTCCAAGTTCAGGAAAGACCACACTTCTTTTGGCCTTGTCTGGAAAACTTGATAAAAGTCTGAAGGTGAAATAGATCTCTCTTCAATATGTATAGTTTCATTGCTTTTTTCTTTAAAAAAGAAAGGAAAAGAAAAATCTATATGAGTACCTATAAGTTGTTCAGGTATCTGGGAGAGTGACTTACAATGGGCATGAAATGAATGAGTTTGTGCCTCAAAGAACTGCTGCGTACATCAGCCAACATGATGTGCATATGGGGGAAATGACTGTGAGGGAAACATTAGCTTTCTCAGCAAGGTGCCAAGGGGTTGGATCACGTTATGGTTAGTACATATTTGCCAAAAATCTAATTTAAGATGTATGTAACCTAAGCATGACTTTTGGATCCACAGACATGCTATCTGAGTTGTCTAGAAGAGAGAAAGCAACAAATATCAAGCCTGACCCTGATCTTGATTTCTACATGAAGGTAAGAAGAATAAGCTCTTCTAAATCTTTATTTCGGTAAAATAAGAAAACCAAAAATCTATATACTATTTTTGCATCTGATTATCTTTTGATATAACAGGCAACAGCAACAGCAGGCCAGGAGTCAAGCATCGTAACAGATTATATAATGAAGGTAATGCTTTAAACAAGTTTCAGTTCGATTGTGTATTGACATGAGTTAAAGTTTGCTACGAAGGCCAAGGTATTGAATTAGTTACTGTATAATTTTGCAGATTTTGGGGTTGGATATATGTGCTGATACTATGGTGGGGAATGAAATGTGGCGTGGAATCTCTGGAGGACAAAGGAAGCGTCTTACTACAGGAGAGATGTTGGTTGGACCAGCAAATGCTTTATTCATGGATGAAATCTCCACAGGGTTGGACAGCTCCACAACATTCCAGATTGTGAGCTCTCTCAGGCAATATGTTCACATTCTAAATGGAACTGTTGTTATATCTTTGCTCCAGCCAGCACCCGAGACTTACGACCTTTTTGATGACATTATCTTAATCTCTGATGGCCAAGTTGTTTACCATGGCCCTCGTGAATATGTTCTCGACTTCTTGGAATCTATGGGCTTCAGATGTCCTGAGAGGAAAGGTGTTGCTGACTTTCTTCAAGAAGTGACTTCCAAGAAAGATCAAGCACAATATTGGGTGCGCAGCGATCAACCATACAGATTTGTCACTGTCACTCAATTTGCTGAGGCTTTCCAGTCATTCCATATTGGTAGGAAACTTGCAGAGGAGCTTATAGTTCCATTTGACAAGACTAAAAACCACCCTGCTGCATTAACCACGAAGAAGTATGGTATCAACAAGAAGGAGCTGTTAAAGGCTAACTTCTCAAGGGAGTATTTGCTTATGAAAAGGAATTCATTTGTTTACATCTTCAAGCTGTGTCAGGTTGGTTCTAGATTTCTACTTTCATTTATACCAATTCAAATTATACACTATATTTCATTTATAGATTATTTTGCACATTTATCATTTTGCTCTTGATGCTTTTCAGATTTTCGTCATTGCGTTGATTGCAATGACAGTATTTTTCCGAACTGAGATGCATCATGAAAATCTAAAGGATGCGGGTGTTTATGGTGGTGCTATATTTTTTACATTATCAATTATTATGTTTAATGGAATGGTCGAGCTTTCTCTGACCATTGTTAGGCTTCCTGTTTTCTACAAGCAACGGGACAGTCTTTTTTATCCCTCTTGGGCATTTTCTATTCCTTCATGGATTCTCAAGATTCCTATTACAATAGTGGAGGTCGCTGTCTGGGTATGTCTCACCTACTATGTTATTGGATTTGATCCAAATGTTGGGAGGTACTGGCAAAGCTTTTTTAAGTTAGGAGCTTGTGAATATTGTTGGTTCTACTAGTTTGCATGTTACTTATGATGCGAGTTCTTGAATTTTGTGCAGGTTCTTCAAGGAGTTCCTTGTGCTATTATTTGTAAGCCAGATGGCTGCTGGATTATTCCGAGCTATTGCAGGACTTTGTAGAAACATGATTGTCACAAACACATTAGGATCTTTTTCTCTTCTCGTGCTTTATACATTAGGTGGCTTCGTTCTGTCAAAAAGTAAGTTCAAATAGCACACGTGATTTTTTTTAATGTATTTCTATCATAATAAACAAGAATAAACTAATGCTTATGAATTTCAATTTCAATGAAACAGAGCATATCAAAAGCTGGTGGATTTGGGGTTTCTGGATTTCACCTATTATGTATGGGCAAAATGCTTTGATGGTCAATGAATTCCTTGGTAACAGTTGGCACAACGTATTTTCTTGAACTTGCAACTTTAGGATTTGCATACTTTTGGTTAAGAAAAGTGCGATTCTAATTTCTTTGCTCTCCAATAATAGGCTACCCACAATTTAGGAGTTCAATATCTGGAGAGTCGTGCATTCTTCACACATTCATATTGGTATTGGTTAGGCATTGGAGCACTGGTTGGATATACGCTACTTTTCAACATGATATATGGTTTTGCTCTTGAGTTCCTTGACTGTGAGTACTTTTCACATCATTGGAACTTTAAAATTCTTACAGAAACGCGACATAAGGTTTATTAATAAGTATGCATCTGAATGTGCAGCATTTGATAAGCAACAAGCAATAAAAACTGAAGAAGAACCAGAAACAAATACACCTAATGAAAGAACCGTAACAGAAGTTGAATTACCATGCATAGGTGCGTTATGTTGCTTATATGTATCACACATGATTACTCGATGACAAGCGTACTGGTTGATTAGCAATTCGTATATCGTAATATGCCTCAAGTCGTTGAACATTTTTTCAAATGTCTTGCAGAAGGTTCTGGGAAATCTGATTCTGTTGTGGAGTCTAGCCATGGAAAGAAAAAAGGAATGATTCTTCCTTTTGAACCACATTCTATCATCTTTGATGAAATTGTATACTCTGTTGTCATGCCACAGGTAAATCACATTAACATGTGGATTTCTAGCCGTGTGTTTCTATTTTAACTCTACTTTAGCCAAAAAACAATTTAAAATTCTAACTCTTAATTTCAACTGGCAGGAAATGAAGCAACAAGGTGCACAAGAAGACAAATTGATGCTTTTGAAGGGTGTTAGTGGTGCATTCAGGCCTGGTGTTCTCACAGCTTTGATGGGTGTAAGTGGGGCTGGTAAGACTACTTTGATGGATGTTCTGGCTGGTAGGAAAACCGGTGGATATATCGAAGGAAGCATCAAAATTTCTGGATACCCTAAGAAGCAAGAAACATTTGCTCGTATCTCTGGCTACTGTGAGCAAAATGATATCCACTCGCCTCATGTTACAGTTTATGAATCCTTGCTCTACTCAGCATGGCTTCGTTTACCTTCAAGTGTTGATTCCAACACCAGACAGGTTAGTTAGTAGGAAGAATGAAAATTTTTACGCTATTCATTTAGATAACTGACTTTCTTTGCTTAGAGGCTGATTGTTCAAACTTATACAATTTGACAATTGGTTGCAGATGTTCATTGAAGAAGTGATGGAACTGGTGGAGCTGAACCCGTTAAGGAAATCCCTGGTTGGATTGCCTGGTGTGAGTGGTCTCTCAACTGAACAACGTAAGAGGCTGACTATTGCAGTTGAATTAGTGGCTAACCCGTCCATCATTTTCATGGATGAGCCTACTTCTGGATTAGATGCAAGAGCTGCTGCAATTGTTATGAGAACAGTCAGGAACACTGTGGACACCGGAAGAACTGTTGTCTGCACAATCCATCAGCCTAGCATTGACATATTTGAAGCTTTTGATGAGGTGAGTGATGGCAATGATAAATAAATTTGTGTCTTATTATTTAGTTTCTTTCTCCTTTAGACTTGAATCTAACATGATATTTTATGTGTGATTCCAGCTATTACTATTGAAGCGTGGAGGACAAGAAATATATGTTGGGCCACTGGGTCGCCATTCTAGGCATTTGATCAAGGATTTTGAGGTAAGGTCATAGTTCAATTCAAGATTATTATGTGAACAAATATAATTCTTGACAATAGATGCTAAAATTTTCCAATAATTTCCAATGTCCAGAGCATTGAAGGGGTGAGCAAAATCAAAGCCGGATATAACCCGGCTACTTGGATGTTGGAAGTTACAACTACAACACAAGAACTTAGTTTGGGTGTCGATTTTGCTGAGTTGTACAAGAATTCTGATCTATATAGGTAGGCCAACGCATATAGCTAAGAATTTGTTGACTATACTAGCTATTGTCATCTTTGTTTTCAAAATGCTTAAATGAGTTATTCATGGCTTTTAGGAGAAACAAGCAGCTCATACAAGAACTTGGTCAGCCTTCTCCTGGTTCAAAGGATCTTCATTTCCAAACTCAATACTCTCAATCATTCTGGGTCCAATGCCAAGCTTGCTTATGGAAACAGCATTTGTCATATTGGCGTAATCCGCCTTACACTGTTGTGAGGTTTTTTTTCGTTATTCTCATATCCCTGTTTTTTGGATCAAGTTTCTGGGACCTTGGAGGAAAACAGTAAGTAAAAAATTAGTAAAATTTAAAAATGAATTCTCATTACTCCGCAAAAGAAAATTCCATAAATTCTACTCAAGTTCTGATTCCTTCTGGTGATTTTACAGTTCAGATAGGCAAGACCTATTGAATGCTCTAGGTTCAATGTTCATTGCTGTTCTCTTTATCGGAGTACAACATTGTAACTCTGTACTGCCTGTGGTATCAGTTGAAAGAAGTGTCTTTTACAGAGAAAAAGCTGCTGGAATGTATTCTGCCTTACCCTATGCATTTGCACAAGTAAGACATTATTAGTACTATAGTTTGCATACATTGTTCACGTTAACAAACTCCCTACTTTTTGTCACAGATTCTGGTAGAGCTACCCTATATCTTTTCTCAAGCCATGATATATGGTGTGATAGTTTATGCCATGATCGGATTTGAATGGACTGCAAAGAAATTCTTTTGGTATCTATTTTTCATGTACTTCACATTGTTGTACTACATCTTCTATGGCATGATGGCTGTGGCACTGACACCAAACCAGCATACTGCTTCCATTGTGGCTTCTGCATTTTTTGCAATTTGGATTCTCTTCTCAGGATTTGTTATCACAAGACCTGTAAGTTTTTGCCATCCTTTGACTAAATAGCTAAATACATTGAGAAGGGACATGGTTTCAATGGATGTTCATAATAATGTATATTTATTTTTATTTTTATTTTCTATTTTCAATAGAACATACCCAAATGGTGGAGATGGTACTATTGGGCATGTCCAGTGTCCTGGAGCTTATATGGATTGGTTGCATCTCAGTTTGGTGATATAATGACTCCAATGACGTCTGAAGGCAACAAGCCTGTGAAATATTTCGTAGAAGACTATTTTGGTATTAAACATGACTTCCTTGGTGCTTGTGCTGTTGCGGTGCCTGGCTTTGGTATTCTCTTTGCATTTATTTTTGGTATTGCAATCAAGAATCTTAACTTCCAAAACAGATAATTGGACTCTTTCTCGTGTCTGTTTGATGATTTGGTTATCGACATTGAAGGTTTCCCAGGCAATGACAAGAGGAAGAACTAGTTAGAAGTATCAGAAACTGCTCAGTAGGGTTTAATTTAGGTCTTTTTGTTTCGGTTGGAGTCCTACCTATAATTTACTAGTTTTTTTCGATGTATTTTTCATATTGTGATCGTTTGATGTATCGGCTTCTTTGTAATAAATAAATGGAAAGACTAAAACTAAGTTATCTTTATATTTTTTTTTCCTTCTTTTGTGGCATCTTATTTGCAGGAAAAAGTTTCCACGGGTTTTTATTAAATAAAACGAACAAAATAAAATAAAAAAATTAGTTAACGTTGGCTTGAATCCAATGTAACATGATGTTACAAAATATTAATGGAAAGACTAAAACTAAGGTATCTTTGGGTTCTTACCGGAGATCTGCTGTAGAGATGATTCGTCGAGTAAGATTGGTGAGCCTCATTCGCTGGTACGTTGGTGTTCCAAGATGGGGGTGGTACCTGCAAAAGAGACTCCGATGCTAAAGTTAGGGTTTGTATGAGTATGAGTCTCGTATAAGTAATGCGCGTACCTTGGTGTGAATTAGGGTTTCGTTGGGCTTTGGGCTTGAGATCAGTTATGATCTGTTTAAGTGACGAGCTGACGTCACACAGCGCGTATCCGAGGTCGTCTTGCGCTGTGATGCCGAGCTAGGAGCTCGACTTTGTAGTACGGATAGTACACTAGCCCCCCGAGCTCCGAAGACCGTGGGTCGAGGAGTTTAGGACCGAGCTCGTCAGGGAGCAGTGACCTTTCACGTATGTCTATTTGTCAAGATACCACGTGTTGCGATTGTCATTTCATATTTCAAAACGCGAGGTCGGCGCGTTAATGGGCATGACGGTTATGCAATGATGGCTTCCTCTATCATAATGGGTCTCATTTAATGCGTGGTCAGCCGTGTCCCTTGGGTGACACGTGTTGTGACCGTTTTGAAATTCTGGGGTGCTCTTTTCCCTCACTCGCGCCTCTTCTCTTTCCCACTTTACTCTTTTTCACTCTTGTGGCTTCTTGCGCACGCTGTTCTCCTTCGTTTCTGTTCGTCCTCCGTCTCCATTTTTTCCGTTTTCGCTGCCGTTTCCAGTAACCCAGTCATTGTTAGGGTTGTTTTCTGAGGAAGAGTACTAGGTACTTCCTTTCTGCAGTTTTCTTTTTCCTTCTTCCCAAATCTTCTTCGAGTCTTTCTTGTTTTCTCCATGACTGGAGGGAGTGGTGCTGGATCCTCCGCGCCTGCCAAGAACAAGGGCAAGGCGCGAGGCAAAGCGGTGGCTACCGGAACGGCCGTCGCCGAGAAAAAGAAGGTGGCAGACCCGCCGAACCCGCCTAAGGACCTCATTCCAGGTATTCCTGGCTATGATTGGGTTCGGCGCGAGATGGGGGAGGCCCAAAGCGTGTTCCGGTCCTTTCTTGAGGTCAATGCGATTTTGAGGTCGTACAGAGTTTGTGACCCTTCCATCTCCCGAATGATCCGGCTTGAACCTTGTCAGGCCGGTGAGGGCGTGTACATGGGGAAGTCTACTGACCCTCCCCATTTGTATGTTTACCAATGCTTCTTTAGGGATTTAGGTGTCTGCTTTCCCTTCACACAATTCGAGTGTGATTTTTTGAATTTTATCAACTCGGCTCCTTGCCAGTTGCACCCCAACAGTTGGGGTTTTTTTAGGGCTTTCCAGGTTTTGTGTTCAACTCTAGGGATAGAGGTGTCTCTTCCCGTCTTTCTTCATTTTTACCAGTTGAAGATAGGCGTTCCGCCTTACGACATACTGTCTTTGAGTGGGAGTATGGATGGGGGTTTATTCACTCTCTTCTCCCAGTCATACAAAAATTTTAAACAAGAGTTTTTCCGGGTTGCTCTTGTGGATGTCGACCCTCTGGAAGATGGGGCGTTTTACTTCGGCGGGTTGCCGAAATTCCCTTTCTATTGGTGCCCCAAACTGTCTAGGTTTCATGGGGTGGGCCAATTGAAACTGACGGCTTCGGAGGCGGCCGTCGTTGAGAACCTCGCAGCGCTCCCTCGTCCGCTGGATTGCAAGCTCGTTCTGTCGCTTGCGAACTCAGCATACAAGGAGAGGGGCCTGGAGAGTGAGTATCTCGTCTTCTTTAGACTGTTAGGGTTTGTGAAACCTTCTTTTGCTGATGTGTTTTATTTGCTGTGTTTGCAGGCATAATGGGCAAAAGTAAGTGGCGTGAGCTGAAGCACCACTACAATGTTGCCGAGCTCGAGGTTCCCGAGCCTCAAGAGGGGGAGATTTCCCCCTGAAGATCAACCGAAAAAGAAAGAGGGGTGAGAAAGAGGTCGGGGGTACCTCTGCCCCTCGTGGCATGGAGGAGGTGACTTCCAGGGCTGCTGACGCCGATGCAGTCGACCTTACTAGGAGCCCTCCGCCTGGGGAGACTCCCCAAGTGGCTGCTGCGGAGATTGCTGAGCAAGCTGCTCCCTCTGCTGAGGTAAGTGTCTTGTTTTCTTTAACTTTTCGTCTATGTTGGTTTTTCTTGGTTTGTTGAGGTGTTATCGCTCTTTGCAGGCAGGGGGCACTACCGAGGTGGGGGCCCAGGTTGCAGAGCAAGTCACCCAGGCCGCCGTGGTGAGTATTTTGCCTTGCCTTTTTCTTGTATTATTTTTTTATATATTGTGCTTTTGTCCTCTGACACGACCATTTTTTCGTAGGCGGGGGATGCTGTTGAGACCCAGGCGGCTCCGAGCTTGACGGTGCCTGAGGAAGGTGTTCCTGTTGCCGAGTAGGGGGCGTTTGCTGCCACTTCTGCTACTGCCGAGGCTCGGGGCAAGGGGCCAAGTTCTGAGGTCCCAACAGCTACGCCTGCAGCTTCTGCGCCGTTGTCAGGTCAACAGCAGGGGGCCTCCCGGAGTCGATACATTGCCCACCGCTTCGGGAAGGACCGCTCTGATGTGCGACTGGACCACGTGAGTGCCTCGGCTGACATGAACTCGCTGTGGAGCGCGGGGGTGACCGCCGAGAGGTTCTTTCCCCAGGGTTCCCTGAGCTCGGAGGATCAGGAGATGATTGAAGAGGTCGGGCCCGTGGAGAGCTTTGACGCTGCTCAGGTCCTTCTACAGAGGGCCATGGCCATTGTGGACAACTGGAAGCATAGGTGGTCCAAGCAGTAGGAGGATCTGGCCAGACTGAGGGGCCGAGTTCAACCCCTGAGGGACGAAAACAAGGTCCTGAAGGAGGAGAACAAGGTTCTTAGTGCTGCCCTCAGTGAAGCAAAATTGCAGGGTGCCGAGCTTCGAGCTGCGAGGGGGGACCTTGCGTAGGGATGGCAAATATACTCGTTCCCGCGGGTAATACCCGAACCCGTCCCGACTTTGACGGGAAATACCCGGTTTGACCGGGTACGAGTACGGGTACGGGTAAAACCCGATATATTAAATCGGGTACAGGTACGAGTACGTGTATGTACTTACCCGCCCCGTACTCGTGCCCGTACCCGTCCCCGTTTCCATTTTTAATTTAATACTCACTTTTAATTTAATTATATTAAAAAAAAATTTAATATTTTTTATGTGTGATTATTTATTATAATATGAGATAGAAAAATAACTTAATTATAATTATAATATAATAAAAAAAATAATTTAAAAATATTATTTTTTTTACAAAAATAAAAAATAAAAAAAATTGACGGGTACGGGT